AACAGTTCTGAACATTTTTTAACTCTAGTTTTTTAATTTTTAATTTGAATATTAAGTCATTAGGAAGGAATTCTATGTAAAAACGGGAGCATCAGAACCTATAATAAACATCACATTCTTTTGCTCCATAGCTCTCACCTTTTCAACATATCTTCCACCTAGTTACGGTTACATACCCAGTGCATCTTTAAGGACTCAAGGAGAACTTGATCAGCTGAACTGAATTCGATCTGGTTAGGTTTCATAACCATCACTACCTGCAGCATTTCATTGAGCATATTAATGATAGCTAATATCTCTTCATAAAACAATTTACTATTTCTTTCCTTCTTGCTTGTCTACATTGCTTCCATGAATGTAAGCATATTCTATGATCCCAATTATTTATTTCATATGATGAAATGTCACCCTCCTTAATGTAGCTTTACAATTAGTTTATTTTTCAGTAGATGCTACCTTCCAATCTGACTATAGGCTTTAACATCTTTCTCTCTCTCTCTCTCTCTCTCTCTCTCTGTAGGCTTTAACATCTCTCTCTCTCTCTCTCTCTCTCTCTCTCTCTCTCTCTCTCTCTCTCTCTCTCTCTCTCTCTCTCTCTCTCTCTCTCTCTCTCTCTCTCACACACACACACACACACACACACACACGCACACACACACTACCAGTTTACTTTTTCACAGGTCAAAAATTAGATTTGGATTTTCAAAACTTAATAATTTATATAAGAATAAATTTCAAAAAGCTTTATGCCCACATTATAAATTTAGGAAGACAGCCATATAACATTTAAATATACAAATACAAACACATACACACACACATTCAATAAATACTACATACTTAGAAACTTAGTATTTAGTTTAATAATATAAATGTTTAAGGGCCACTAAGAGAAACAGAAAGTAATGTTCATATTATCAAAAACAATGCTCATATATAAATATTACTACTATTCTGGGTGAAAAACAGGAATCAACATTTTTTTTGTAAAATTCAGAATATTTTTAGCCCATTAGTTTTGAATGCCTCCTTCAAACTAAAAAATATGTCCTTCTAAAGCAAACCTAATAGATCATTTGAAGCAAAATATTATCAAGAAACACTAACTTTACCACAAAGCATAATAATCCAAAATCCTATCTAATGTTAGCAATCATTATTATATATAAGCAGCCAAGCCTCCGAAGTATAGAGAAAAAATATACACTTGACCATTTTCAATCACAAGTTCTTTAGAGAATAAAATATTCTTTGAGCAAAACCTCATGAGAACCAGAATTCCCTTTCCAATATATGGTCTCTCCTAGAGCTGTAACTAAATATTACTGAGTGGCAGAAAAACAAATCTCAAGAAATGATGGACTTAAAAAAATTTCATTGTAGAAAGCACAAAGCAAGTTCTAATAATACCAATTTGAAAATGATAGCTCCCCAGCTTGGAGAGAAGCAGATATAAAAACTCACAGTAAAGACTAAAAGACCTGACTGAATCTGTTAGGCCTCTGATGGGCTTTAATAAGTATGATCGCTAAGCAGCTTACACTGGAAACTCAGTTTTATTTAATAGTTAATTAAATCATTGTTAAATTCATAGATTTGGAAATTAATGGTTCAATTTTAATCAAAACTTTGTAAAGTCAAATTCAATAGTGTATAACACAGAATATGAAACTAATCTTGTTAAATCCTTAGATGTCCAATGTTGAAATTCCATTATTTCTATGACATTAAAGATACTACACTATTCATTTACTAATCACATATTTTAAACCCATATGTTGAATAGGAGGAATTTTATTAATATAAAAGTACAATAAAAGTTGGCAGGATTCATATTTTTGACTTTTCCAAAATATAAATGGTAGTTGTATTTACATCTCTTTACACAGTGGAGCTATCACTTTCCAACTAGTTTATTAACACTTTGTGTATTCTGACCAAGATGATCTCTAAGGCCTCTTCCAAGTCTAAAAAACAATAATATACTGCACTGCATCATACAACTGTTACTTTTAAGTCTCAAAACTTCCTCAAGTCTTTGTATATTATTAATAACACCCTTATCTCACTAGTAAACCTATGGAGAAAAGTGGCTTTAATTTTCTCTTGCAATGCTACAAAGAAATAAAAACCAAGACTTGAATAATGGCCATGAACATGACCTAAACTAGAAAACAAGCTGTTACCTCAAAGGGAGAGAAAAATTACCTGTAGGTAATGTATGCTTCCCGTCTATAGTCTATAAAATACTCAAACTACTATGTTCAAAAGAAATATAACTGTGGGAAAGACGCACTAGGTTATATAGAATCATGAAATGTCATTAACATAAAGTTTCATTTCCAAAAGCAAAAGATAAAAGCTTCCCCTTAAGTCATTTTCTCTTCAGTCAAAAACAATTATGAATTCAAAGCAAAAATAACATCCAGACTGAGGATACAGAACTAGAAAAACTCCGCTTTTTATGTTTTAAAATTTTTAATTTGATAGATATCTCTTCAGAGAAAAATTTTTAAAAACTTCCCCCCCAAAGGCTAATAATCTATTGAAAAAAAAAAGCAATAAAGGAATATGTACATGAAAAATGTATTTAACAAAGTAATAGATGAATTTTTTATAAAAAGAAAAACATACTATTTAATAGTGTTTCCATTAAATTGATTTTCATTAAGTAATTTTAAAATTTTATATTACAATCACGTAAAGATAGACAGCAACCATTCTAATAAGCACAAAACAGAACCAGTTAAAAGAGGAAGCTAGTAATAATGAAGGAAAATAAAGAAAAGAAAACAGAAAGATGGAAGAAAATAAGACATAAAGTTTGGGGCTTAAGAGAAATGAAAAAAAAAGAGAGGAATAAATAGTTAGGTTGAACCATATAAACTGTTAATCACTTAGGCTACAACCTGAATAAGTTTTCTGAACATCCCATTAGCTCCTCAGCAAAGAACTATTCACAGATCTGCAACTGCTTTTAGTAATGCATCAAGCTTTGAAGAAACAATCTATAATCTTCAGCACTATGATCAAAACAACAGTGTTGTACAGAATGAGTGCCAAAGGCCCAAACAAACAAAAGGAGGTTGCTAGTGAGAGGCAGCTTGCCTTATTTCAGACCATTCACCAAATTGGAAAAGTTAAAAAATAAAAACCTGTTGGCACCAAGTAAAATTTTTTAATCACAAAGCAACCATATCCTCAGTGGTGAATTAAGCCAGTCTTTTTTTATTTTGTATCTAGTCAGTGGAGTGCCAGAAGGCCAGAATTAGGAAGATGCATGCAATTTATACTATTTATACTAGTGACTCTGTCTTTAGCTGTTGCATTCTCAGTTATAACTCTGGCTCACTTTCCAAACTATTGAGTACAGTATCTAATAAGCAAGCAGACCAAATCCAAGACTCAGCTAAATGACTCTGACGTGCTTTTCTCCACCACTAATTCACCTTCCTGAACCAAGAGTTAAAAGGTAGGATAACTCATGAAATTTAGGGTAGCACATAACAGTGAACACACATCAAGAGTACATGCTACACAGAGAGCTCTAAACTTTCTAAAACCTCACATCCCAAGAATTCAAACAATAAATTAAACCACACAGCAAGCAACTATTTAATCCCTGAGTCAAAACACATTGAATATCTTGAGTTGAGTGAAGACTGTATATAATATTGGATCATTTGAAAATGAGAAAGAGCTGCCATTTTATCCCATCATTACCTTTCTTTCTGGGCAGCACTGATCTGGCTACCACTTCTTAGTATAATCTGGAGTTTCCACCTTTTTAACAAGGAGGAAAAATACTAATTTCCCTCAGTAACTGATAACGAGTTGTAGAACTTAATTGAAAGTCAAGTAGCCAAGTCTCTGAGAAAGGTATGTATGTGGGGAATGAGACAAAGAGAAAATAGGGTATTACTATATACTTTATGTCCTCCCTGTTACGGTTCACAGAAAATTGCAGAGTAGGAGTATGCTGCACCAATCAAATAAATCCACCAAATAAATGTCTCTTGAGGCAAGTACTATAGCAGAATCTTGGTATGTAAAATGAATTAAGTTAACCTCAATGCATTCACCATCATTTGGGTCCAATAATACACATCACAGTTTGGTGAGTGCTATGATGAAGATGCTAAACTAAGTACTAAAGAAACACAAAGTGGGGAAGGGGAAGAATTCTGACTTTA